GTTGGGGGTGATTCCATGGAATGGAGCATTGGGGATGAACGAGTTGATAGAATAAAGTTTAAAGAATAAAATATTTCGAAAATTAGGCTTAATCAATGATCAGTAATGAATTCTAAAATTCAACAATATAATTAGGTATTCAACATCAAACAATTTTTAGTCGAAATTGATGAAATTAAGTTTTTATCCAATAATTTTAATTATAAGTTTGCGGACGTGTTTGTTATAGTATTCATTTTAATTGAATGCAGAATGGCAGGAATGCTATAGTGTTCAATCTTTAAAGTCAATTATTTTGCATCAGGAAAATTATTCAAGTCTAACTTCCTAATAGAGCAATTACTAGCTTCTGTCACTATTTTTTGTTTTCATTCAGTACCATATTGGTTTTCATATATTTAACTATATCTATTACTACAACTTTTGTCCATCCCTGACCAGGGTCCCTATTGACCCCTTGCCACTGCCGACTCCCTGAGCACTGACTGGACTATTTACACTGGCTTCTCATGTCCCGAGCGAATTGTCCGATCTTCTTACCACGCTAGACCTCTGGGGTCAACCGATTGGAATACGAATACCTAATGCATTAAATAAATCTAATTAGAAATGTATTGGGATTGTTTGGAATTACGAGGAGGATTTGGCGATAATTTTGGCAATAATGGGGGATAAAAACACTGATGAGAGGAAGAGATGGAAGAGATACATTTTATTCAAAATACAAAAGATTAGTTCATCAATTCATGATCATAATCAATATATTTTGTTATAAATATAGGTAATATTATGCATATCAAAATTACTTTTATCCACGTGATATAGGTTTTATATTACATATTTCTATAACTACATTGCAATCTTTGTTTGCCTATTCCAGTAAGCTCATTAGCAATGTATATTAATTCTAGTCTATTAAACATAATCTATATAAATCCATTCGACCGAAAATCGTAAGCTGATTACTAGTCAGCCGTTGGTAGGATTTCGAAGTTCGTTAGGATGATTACTTTATATAGGTACCCCTTAATAACTAAGTGATAAAGGACATATTATTTATTAACTTTTATTCATATATTATTTATTAATTTTGATGTCAATAATAATACTAGATAGATAAATAGACGTTTTATTCCAGAAGCATTGTTTCAATGGAACTTTTCAATAAGGGCTGGTATAAACTATTTGAAGAATTATGTTTTATACGATCACTGAATATAAATTGTATACAAAAGAACTCCAATTATCCGAATTAATGGGGACCGGGACCCATTCGGATAATCAAATATTCCGATAATCGGAGTTTTTTTTTTTAATTGGCATTGGAGAGAAAAAAGTTACGTTTTGATATTGCACTATTTTTTTATTGAATTAAATGAAAGAAACATGACATTTTCACATGTTTTAAATATAAATAAACTGTACTTATGTACAAGTTTAGAAATAAAAATCATTGTTTTTTAAACATCTCCGTCAATGTAAGCTATTTTGCGGTCTTCAACCAAAGAATAATAGCGCACTTAGACTTTTTTGGACAATTTTTTTTCTGATAGTGATTCGGATAATCGGCGATTCGGATAGTCGGAGTTCGGATAATTGGAGTTCTACTGTATATCATTTTTTTATCCATTTTAAAAAATAGAGATAACTTAATGAAAATCATAAGTGAAAGCTATTAGAAAATTTCATTTCTAATTAGGTTTTTCTTAAATAATGACTTAGGAAACTTTTCGCAGTGTTAATGTATGCTTTCATGTATATAAAATAGAGCATAAATAAACATTCTCAATATTTATTATTATGAACGTGGAAATAGAGTAATCAACTTTCTATATAATAGAGCTTCTTTCTATATAATAGAGTTTTCTAAATCTCATATAAAATTAAATATCAATATTATAATAGCCCTCTAATATTATCATAAACTTCATAAATTCCTGTCAGATACTTGAATTCCCGATAAATACAACAAAAGCTTAACCGCTCTATTGATAAATGTCTATAAATATCCGTAATGCGGTTTCATTCGATTGTCCGCGAACATTTTTAAAAGGCACAAATGAATATATCGCCGGCACTTTATTGAATTCTCCCATTGTCAAAAATCTCGTCGAAGCTGGCCGCAAACAGCGTCTCTCCGCCGATCGTCACCGTCGTCGCAGGGAGAGCGGGCGACTGCCGCGGCCGGCCCGGCGCCTGGCACACATAAACTCTCTTTCCTGAATCCCTAACGCGTTTATTTAGAATCGTAATAAGGCAAAACGACGGCGGTGTGGGGCACTCAGCGCTTTATAACTAACCCGACGAGTGGTCGTCGCACAACGCCCGTCGGGTGTTATCCAAGCCCCTAACTCGGCCAATGGTCGATACACCTAGCCTCATGGGAAATCTACAAATGTGGCCAAAACATACCCGCATATACTCGAACGCACACAGCCAGACACGGACGTCCGTATCAGCTCGCGGCCACGCTGGGGAGCAGTGTAGGGTGCGCGGTAATGCTATTCGTACGAGTCGTTTTGAGATCGTAATGTTATCACACAACACCCCCCACAAACACAAATTTATATACATACATACATATTACACACATACATACATATATATACTACTGAAACATGTTCTCCATCTGATATTATAAAGATTTCCAATATTTTCAATGCTTAAATTATATTTATCACAAAGTCTGCAATTGGCAGTTGTACACGTGGATATAAAAATTACGTACGTTAATAAAAATGGCCCAGACTGGAGTGTCATTCTGACGTAATTCATTATTAAGCATTACACTACAGAATTATTTTAATAAAATTCACATTGTTATCGAGAGGTTGGTATACAACAAGTATTAAATTACGTGGTTGCACGTGGAAAAATGACTTTATCTATAAAAAGTCGATTGAACAACGTAACGATGAACTGTTAAGTGGCTAATTTTATTAACATCCTCCTCCCAAAGTTCAAAAACTTACTTATTTAAACTTCAACGCCAATCGGCTATATAAAATTTATTTTTTATACAGTAATATAATAAAACTTTGACTTTATATAAGGAAATAAGTAAATATTATTGATCATAATAAATGAAAAATTATCATAATTTTACTAAAGCTCTAGGTTGCATTCAAAAGCTCGTAATCCCCAAACAATTTGTATATTTTTTTTTCAGGGCAGTTATCACCACGTATCCGGCTTGGCGTGGAGTTCTGGAACGCCCTATCAATATACATTTTATTATGCTTAAATATAAGTAGCTTTATAACCACGATCATTTATTTTGCTAATATGCAAATTTAAAACAATTATAAATTTATGAAATCATTCCAAACAATACGCTGCATTTTACATTTAAACTTTTAATAGCCCAGCGGCTTTTATACCATTGTAACCACAATAGATACCTTAGTCAAGTTTATGGTTGCATTTAGAATTTAGTAGTAAAAGCAGATTTAAAATAGCATTAGTAGAGTTAAAATGTTAATATAAAGTTAACCGTGTTCAATATTGAAACTTTTGAATTAGGACGATTATAATAAACATTTAGTCCATAAAATATAACTCTGTAACTTGAATTTGATTCCCATCCTATAAAATTTTAGTTCATTTAAAATTTAGTAATTTTAATAAATGCAAAAACAAATAAATCAAAAATAATTATATGATCACAAAAATTTGAGAATTTAAGAACAAACATAAAAATGTTTTTGAAGTTTGTATAATAATACAATTCCTAAAAAGTACTCTTTCTTGGGAAAGTTTTATTTCAGCAACTTGCTCATGAAAAAATAATATTTAATATATTTTGTTAGATAACAAATATATTCTTATATATATTCTATTCCAATATTGTTTCAAAATATTTCATGAAAATATTATTATTCAAAATGAAAGGTTATGATGGAAAGTTTCAATGGTTTCACTAATATGATGAAACTATAGTAAAATATGTAGTCTATTATCCATTTGGTTTCGCTTAATGAATTCTTCTTCATTGTGTACAAAACAATGAGGTGATGTCCTAACTTTTTGCATACCACAATTTATATATATATATATATATATATATATATATCTCACTACCCTGTGTGAGAATTTATTACCATATATGTGTGTCCAGCAGGTGAAATAACATGCCCACGACACCGAACACGCATTCTCATATCACGCAATTTATTATGGCACCCTTGACTCCGAATTAATTAAACAAAATAATTAGTTAATAGAAATAAAAACCTTGTATAACGACCACATGGATATAAAAAGTATATAAAAACATTGTATTTACCTAGATACAAAACCTAGTTTCATAATGGGTTCGTCATAATAAAATCATGAAATATAAAAGAGCTTTGTAATTAGACCTCCAAATTTTCATAATAGGAATTTTTTTTTAATAATTATTGGAAATGTTGTTAATGAAATTATATTAGTATGATTATTGATTCTTTGAATTATTGAGTTTACCAATTCAAAACAGACTGAAGAGCTCATTTGCAATTTGTTGAATAGCATTTTTAGGACCCTAGTCAAAAATAATTACACAATTGTCCCAAGTTTTCAAAACTTCTCGTTAAACTACAAATTTAAAATTTCTAAAATCGGTCGACTTCGAGAGGTTTTCCTTGAACAAATTATACTAAAGTGTGTTGGAACACTAAAGTTGGACTTGTACTGAACTGTGTGGTTTCATCAAAAGTTGGTTCATTTAATAAGGATTATAAAATGATAAAATACTTGACAAAAAAAATTCGAGTAAGAAAAAGGCGAGAAATTACTTTAGAAAAAAATGTTAGTATAAACTTTTCAAAAATACAATATAATTTATCAATTTTATATATTAGCAAACTCTATTATGGCACTTGACAAAATTTGTATGAAAATGTCTATTTTTGCAGCGTTAGTTCACAAAAAAGCAACAATACAAGAGTTTTTTTTGCATACACAAAAAATAAATATTGTTACACAAATTTTATAGTAATTTAATTTTTTTTAATTTTCAGGAAGCAGAAAGTGCCATAACCGCAATGAACGGACAGTGGCTTGGGTCTAGGTCCATTAGAACAAACTGGGCGACACGTAAACCACCTTCTACAAAGGCAGAATGTAAGTTTTTAAAAAAATTATCTATTTTTTATTTTTTTATTTTAGCTCATACCCTCAAATAAAACTTCGTAACTTTATCCAAACTATAAAACATCAATTAATTGCTTGAAACATCATTGGGTAATAAAACTGCAGTTGTAATCAAAAAAATACGTTTAGGATACTGGATTTTCCTATTTTATTCTGTATTATTTTGGGAAACACTGGAAAAGTATCATGACCCGCATTTCTCATACGGTCATACCCCTGACATGATTTGACATAGAATGATGGCTTTGTTTTTTTGGATTGTTTGAATGCGTATTTTGCATTTTAGAAAAGGGGATGTTTCAACTCTGAACCTGCAAATTACTTTACTATACATGAATAAAGTATACATATATACAAATAGATATATACATATATATATATATATATATATATATATATATAAATTGACAGAAGTTTACATTTATATCATTTATTTTATTATTTATACTTAATAAAATCAACACAAGTGCTGAGTTTTTCAGGCATTTCTTTTATCTAATCAGAGAACTTATTTATTATTATTATTTATTATTTTTTATTATTTTAAAATTTATTATTTATTTATTATTTGCAAAGCTTTTATGGAGATTTCTAGCATTTCAACTTTAAGATAGTTATCCAATTTAGTGTAACCCATTATAGTAGATATTCCTCGTTGTATTTTAATAGTAAAAATATTTTTCTTGTGTTACTTTAATACATGAAGTATACTTTACGGAAAACCTGATATTATAATGGATATTATAATTCCTAGATATTATGATTATAATACACATATAATAATTTTTGTTTCATTAGATTTTTTTTAAATTTTCTGTACAGTACTATCTATCTATATTCAGGGTGTTTCATATTTCAACGTCAAGCCAAAACAAGGTGATAGTATTGGCCGTTGCTATAATGAAAAAGCTGTAGATTGCACTTAAAAGCTCATAGTTTCCAAACAACGTGGGAATTTTTTTTTACAATTTTTTCAGGATAGTTACGGTTAATAATATCTCCCCTTTTTGGCTTGACCTTGATTTGTGGGACACCCTGTATTTGTATATTAATTTGTTTATGTCTTTTTGTTTACTCCAAACAATTTATTACCATTACCGAACACTTGCACTTAATCGAAATGAGAGGAGTTTGGCATCGTTTTCAATTTTCACCTCATCATCGCATCGCAATTAGACCAGACCAGAGCGGATCGTAGCAATTTTCGCATCTGAAAAAGCGTAGATGAAATTAATCGCGTGTGCACGCGGCACTTGAGACCGAGAAGTGCAACCCCTTCAGTAACCTGAAAAAGTTTTTCAGAACGACGAGGGCCGCTGCATAAAAGCGCACCCATAAACACTCGCAACCGTCGTTCTCGAGCGTAAATCAAATAAACTCTGTCTGCATGTTAATAGTTTCGGCAGTGGCGTAGCTAAATAGCTAAATTTGATAATAGATTTATTCATAAGCAAACCGATTCATAAGCTATAATTACAAATATCATTTCTGGCTCCTGACCAGGAACTGAAACTGACGAACTAGATATGTATGTCATATCAAGAGATTTTTTTTTCCAAAATGATTTTGGTAAAAAATCTAAAACTCGTGAAGTAGGATATTGTTTCAAAATTTAATTGTTGTGGCTTCCATCTCACGTTAATTTCTCTTAATTGTACTTATACTGTTACGTATATGGAATTGTTTGAGATGATATATGGTTGTTGGTTGGGAGTTTCTCGGTTGTTCCACACTGTCTCCATGATACCGATTGTCCACTCCTTGGCCCACGCCGTTACTGGTAAGTTACAGCTAGTAGAGCCAGTCGTAGCCTTCTGGGTCCAATCCTCTCAATAGTGTGTAGAATCCTCTCAACTCCTGGTCTGGTGTCGTGGGCGGAACAGTAAGTTGTAATATAAAATAATAACACTGGTAGTAATCTCCTCGGAACCGTGAGCACTTTATTCTGGTATAGACTGAAAGAGTTCTCTACGCAAAGTCTAATTGAAACACTGAATTTAATTGACTGTCACTTTATTTAAATCTTTAATCACACTTTCAAATCACTACTCTCTTAAGACATCACTAGACTAGACTCTCTCTTAAGACATCACTCAATTCGATGGACGATCGACTCACTTCCGCATTCGCGCTCTGGCCATGTACTTTGGTTATTTACCAAAGCAGCACGAATTGCATTATTTCACAACAGTACGTATATCGTATATTGTAATTGTAACAGATGTATGTAATTTATAAACTATTTGTTATTTTACATCCTGATCCGGTATCACCTACGTCCCTGGATGGTTGTCGGTTGTATCTCACCGACTCCACCGGCTACTCGTTCACTTTGTCCGTATGCTCTTTGCATACGAGCGACGCGCGATGCCCACACGTGATTTATTGAAGTCGACTCGAGTTGATACCACGACTGCCCGTGACGGAATAAAGGACAACTATACTGAATTGACTAAAATATGGGTGGACAAATTAAAAACAATAGCATTTTTTCTCTTGACCGATATGGATCCAGAAGTTTCTTTGGAATTAGCTTGAATTAAACTCCAAGTTCAAATTTTTGCAAATAATCTTGAATCAATACTAAAAATTAATAAAAGGTTCCGAAGATAACTTTCAGAAATTACGCTGAATAGTTTTTTTCCGAATAATTCACCAGACTCTATTTGGATTGTAAACAGATTCGCTAACCGGATACTAATCAGGTTCAAAATTAAATCCTACTAAATCCCATCCTTATCTTAACTACATCCTTATAAGGTCACGGCAGGATTCCTAGTAGTTTTTTAATTTGATACTTACTAAAACTTCATCAGATTATAATGGAATTCTTGGTAGATTAGCATTCAAATTCTGACAATACTGATTTTCCTGGCAGATTTTCATTAGATTCTTACTAGAATCATATCATATTCTAACATGATTTTCATAAGATTTCCTTTTCTTGCTCATTTTTTTTCAAATTCTGATTGGATTTTTATTAGATTTTTCAAAGACATTAGGAAAACTTATCACTAAACTAATGATCATTAGCAACCTAGGTGTATATCGTACTAAATCTGGCATCTAACATAGAAATTAATTATAATAGCAAATGTGAACTGAATGTTGCAGTTAATAAATTCTTTCTTATTACGTTCAAGAGTATTATTATTCTTATTATTAAATATTTCTGATTATTTACCAATAAATAAAGTTTGCACCTCTAGTTCTCTCTTTGTGACTCTATAGAAGACATGAAATAGCAACGGCGCACGTGCTGGCGTGTTCGGGCTAACAATAAGGGAATAATGAGTTTTCTCTGAAATACTCATTTGACCCTAACTAATAAATTAGTAATTTAAGTTCGCAAATAGTAAATGAGGCAGCCGAGCAGGATGCCAAACTGCCTTTGCACCGTATCCTTAACAAATAAATTCCATTATGAGAACGATTGTTAATATTTAATTCAAGGAAACAGAAAAATGGTAACTGACGCTTGACAAACACATTTGGATGACTATTACATGATAATTTACACAAATAGAAGAAGTTGTATTTAATCAAAGTAAGAAGTATAATTTTTCTTACAAAACTTTTAAAGCAACTTATTAATTTACGTAGAAAGTCAAGCTTGGTCTTACTAAAGTAAAGCTATAACATTTTTTCTGTAAATTACTTTATACAGCTAAGAAGACGTCATAATTTTCATTTAAATCTCTTATTATTACGACAACCAGAACAAATGAGAAAACAAGAAAATCTTTTAATGCGAAGAAAGAATGAGAATTTCTTTATGAAATTGAAGTCGTTTTTGGTAATTGAAAATGAAAGTTAAGATATTGTAATTTAAAGGTTCTAATATCCGAAAATAGATCTTCTGAAATTGTCAAAATTGCTTTCAACGCATATTTTTTATATACAATATGTAGTTATAATGGTTTTTCATATAGTGGCTATTTTGAATATCTGAACGTTATGTTAAAGGTCTGCAACACACTTTAAAGCACTTTTTAAAGATTGTGGCATGAGACCCAATGAGGTCCCAAAAATTTATAAATTTATATATTCAAAAACAGTTTCACATTTTATGTTTTAATCAATTATTTGCCTGAATTTTGTTTTTGAAAAACTTTTAATAATTTGTCCATAAACATCATTCCAAAAATAAATCTATTGCTGGTGGAAAGTCTCAAAAGCACATCGCTTGATATTATTATTTTTTTCTAATGAATGTTTGAATTTATGAAACGTATTATATTATATTTAGGCAAAACATTAATTTCATTCGCCGGCTCTTTTACAATGTCAATATACCAGCAATATAAATTTATAGTAGCAAGATTGAGTGGAAATAACCGCTTCAATTATAGATCACAGATTCAAAAGCATTATGAATAATCTAATATGGTTTAGTGAATTATGAGTATAATAAAAATAAAGGGATTTTATGCCGGTTTATTTTCAAGGTAGAGTTCCTGATATTTATCATCATGTTAAGAACGAACGGGCTGGCGTTTTTATGATATCATGATTTCGATTTCGCCGAATGTAATATTTTAACCGGGTTAAAGTATTTTTCCTCTTGTAAAATAACTTACTGAATAATTTTATCTTATTTTGTTATTATTGATTATTCATATATTATTGTTATTTCCAGATCCAATTTCTATGTTTATGCAATTTCTTACGTATCTTTAGCAGTGCCTTTCTTCCATCAAGGTAAATTATTATAGGGGTGGTAAAATGATATATTTTTAAATATTATTTAAACCCTCTTTATACTTGGCTTTAAAAATACTTTATTAATCCTAGAACTGATTTGTGTCTGTAAAATCCACATTTTTACTCCGGTAAATAAATTCTCATCAATTTTATACTGGCGGAGCGCGCCTGCCGACATTTGAATAATTCTTAAAATTTCAATATTGATCGATCCATTCAGTATTTTTTTGTAAGAATCGATTTCCAGATGTACAATATGAACATTT